ACGAGCAAGCGGCCACCTGAATCCGTCAAAATAGCGAAGCGAAGCTGCCCATAGACATCCGCAATTGCAGATGCGTTACCCTTATACGGCGGAGATGGAGACGCACATAAAGAGGATATTGCCCTTTCCTATGCATCTCCTCTACCGTCAAATCCACTGCCCTCCCATCCTCTTCTTATAAGAAAAGGGTGGTAAAGAGAAAGGGAATTAAATTAGGACGGCACCACACTCATCAGACTGTACACGGAATTGCTTCCATTTCACGGCTGTCTTCTGTGTGGTCGTGGTATTACTGGGGGCGAGCCCTGCACTGCTAAGATGTTAAAGCGGGCACTACCACTGTTAATATCTACATTTAGGAGATAAATATTTACTCACCTTATCTTGTTCAATTAATGATAGACCGCTGTGTAGAGGAAGTACTATCCATTTCTTAGTTTTTTCCGCATACTGCTGTGCGGCATCACATATAGAAGTTATTTCTTGTACACCAGACATAAATATTAATAAATCACCTCTTTCATCACCTGTAAAATAAAATCTTTTGCAAACACATAAATAAAATAGTTCATATAAACTAGAATAAATTCTGAATAATCTTACTTCTTACTAATATTATAAATGCGAGAGGAGTTTAGATGGATATCAATGAAATTTGGCATAGACGTAAAGCATAGTCTAGAGGAACACATAGATTATTTACTTAAAAACATAATTGACTAACAAATGAAATATTTATAATGAGCATTGCATGAAAGGATTGGGTTCTCATCGTCATACATTATACAAAAACATTAAGAGCTTGTCACACCACTGGCAGATAATGTAACAAAATCCAATATTTTCATCACATATTTTATACATTGGATTGTTATTTGTTAACAAGAATAGGCAATATGCATATAACGCCAGATTGCATCAAACTTTTTTTAAGTATACTTTATTACTATAAAACATTCCTGCAAAGATTTTTTTTAATCTTATGAATGGAATAGACGATTGACGTCGCGTCCGGTCGCGTTTTAGTAGCTCGAAAATGGTCGTAATTATATTTTATTATTTTTAGCTCAATGGTTGAATATTTTCGCGTCATTTTTTTTCTGGTTATTTTATAACAAGTAGAATCGTTTAAAAAAAAATACATGCATATTCCCTATTGTGGGACATGTCCTAAAAGTTTTAATATAAAGTACATAACAGCAATTTTAATAAGAACTATGTTAACTACCGCATGCAGTCATTGAGTTATTAAGGCTTACAAGTAATCTACACTTAGGGTCTCTAATAGTGCTTAATAATCAACATATATTGCAGCTGCAATTAACTGTGAAGCAACTCTGAGTGCCACTTAAATAAATTATAAAATTGTTATACTAACTTGGATATTTGCTGTCAATTAATTGCATGATTTGAACATATGGCTGGGGATCGAGCCTGTCATCTCTTGTTGGTTTGTCTTCGATATGAATAGGTTTGTAATTTAAATCGATTGGGTATAATCTTCCTGGTACCTGTCAGATTAAGGTAAGCCCATGCGAAAATTATAATTAAAACATAGTAATGAATACACCCTATGTAACTCAGCGATAGTTTATCTTTCTAATACCAAAATGATTTTTAAAATTGGTCCAGTTGTTTTTAAGTTCATTCATTACATACAAGAATTTACATTTTTCTTCTTTATGATATTTATTGTATAGTACCACAATTTGTATTTTTCTTTTTATAACATTTATCATTATAATAGTCATGATATGGTCTATAAACAAAATTTACTAGTTACTTAAGTTAAGAAAACGCCCGCAAAAAAAATTAACGCCCAATTACTGAAACATATCGGGTGTCAAAATTTAGTAACATATATAAATATTTCCATATTTGTATATATATAAAAAAAAACTACGATATATACTGTTGATAAACTTACTTGAATGACAACAGCAGATTCAGCGGCAAAATAATCTTCAAATAACTTAATATTAATTGTAGCTGACATGAGTACCAGCTTTATGTCAGTACGAGTGTGTATGAGGCACTTAAGAACACCAAGCAGAAAGTCACCCATCAAATGCCTCTCATGGATCTCATCTAATATTATAACATCATAATTTGGTAGATTTTCTGATGACATCTAAAACAAGTTATTAAAAAAGCTTCACTAGTTAAGCCGTATCTATATCTATACTTCTATACTAATATAATAAAGCGTAAACACACACTTCTTTGTTGCCTAAGATGTCAGTAATTACAACATATTTTGGATTCATTCTTCTTTTAATAAAAAGCCCTACACTTACGTCTTGCTTTAGGCTATATATTTTCACGCCATTAAACTTAGGAGGTAAATATTTTGGATAAAAACCCTAATGTGCGAAAGAGACTATAAGTTGCTGCCTGAATGTCATTTCACTTTGACATTTGCAATTGATAATTTGACCCATAATATAAAATAAAATTTTCATAATTTTATGTGAATGAAGTCAGACGGGAACAGCTAATAATATATAAAAATGCACATAACAAAGGTAGCAATAAAAACATTACATATTTATATATTTATGTAGCGTAAACTGCTAAATGGATATTGATATTTGGCATAGATGTAGAGGACAGTCTGGAAGAGCACATAAGCTAGTTTTGTTTTTTAATATAGCTAGTAAGAAACTAAAATTACCTGTCTTAGCAACAGTCCTTCAGTAATAAAACATATTTTAGTATCTGCTGATTTGCTCTTTTCAAATCTTATTTGATAGCCCACTTTACTCTCAAACTGCGTGAGAGTTTCGAACGCTACCCGTTTCGATAAGGATACACAAGCTATTCTTCTTGGTTGAGTACACGCTGGAAAACATTAAACACACATAATTGTATAGATTATTGTTAAAAAATCAATTATTAAGAATAGTTTTTTGTTATATAATCTATGGTGTGTGGCAACACTGATTTAAGTCTATTCCTTCATGCATGTAAAATGTAAGTAAAATAAGTAATATTATAAAGAAATAATAGTGAATAAAGAATACTAAACAATCTGTTGCAAATCACTTCTACTCCGTAAATATTCAATCATCAAACAATTATTAAATAAAGTTTAAGGATTTTTAAAAGAATTACAATGAAATTGAGTATTTTACATGTCATTTATACTAAAGGCGAAATTAAAAAAAATATAATCATACAATATAACCAGAATCTGTGTTTTTGGACCTCATCTGCTGTAGACTTATGTTCAGTTTGTAACATATGTGAAGTTGTACATTAAAAACAGTGTTTAAAAAACTTTTACTTGGCAATTCATGCTCAGCCAGTACAGTCAATAGCGCTCAATAACTGAACTGGCAATACACTGTGAAAGTTTCAATACTAATTGCCACCAGTGAAACCTAATAATCTAGGCCTGGACGTCTCAACTATCTAACTGGACTGGCTAAATGTAAACCAGGCATAACTTTAAACTTGTTTGGGAATAAAATTGAAATACCTATATTTTGAAAGCCAGCATCATGCAAGTACTGCGGAACTTGAGTTGATTTTCCACAGCCAGTATCGCCAGCAACAATAATAACTCTTTCATTTTTAACTGCAGCTTGTATTTCTTCTCTGTAACATTTATTAAAATGATATATAACTTTAAACTGTCATGGTTGGTATGGTAAATGGTAACACCATTTAGGTCATAGAGGTCAAATCTAAAATCCTTTAGGATGAACCGAATTATATTTTTATTAATAGAGTTTGCAGATTATAAACATGAATCAATTGCTCTTTAAGCAATAGATCTGTTAATAAATAAAATGTTATACATGCAATATGTAAAAAATATACCTATATTTTGCAACGGGTAGATCTTTTTGTGTTTGCCTTAACTTCTTTAGTTTCTCAAGTTTCTCTTTATTCTTAAAATCTAAGTAAATTGACACAACATTTAATAGTGCATCAAATATACTCTTTGTAAGTTTCTTTCTTCCTCTTTCTTCACAAACACTGTCCATAAATTTTATATTGGTACTAAAATTAATACAATCGAATTTTGAAAAATTTGATGGGATTCCTAAATCGTTTGTTAGGCGATCTTCATTTTCAACACAGAATATAGGTTTTCCAGCTTTCCTCAAAGTAGCTTGGTACTTGTTTACGAACACCCAAAAGTCATCCAAGTTATTCGTTACTGTATTTGTATCTCTACTATAGGCGAATATTTTGTTTATATCTCGCTTATAATCTAAAAAATCAAACTCCGCTGAAGAGGATTCTGCAGGATTCATAGGTTTAGATAATTTTTGCCGGTTTGCAAACAGTCTCTCCTCCGAACTCGACCGTCTTCTCTTACTTGATCTTCGGGGTGAATGGTCGTGAAATCGTTTCATTGTGAATAAAATATCTAAGAAGAAAATATACAAAATTATTCAAATCAAATAAAATTGTTTTGGTTTAGATTTGACTTTGACGGTTTGACATCTCATTTGACAATCAGTTGTTTTCAATGTTACCATTTTTTGTCGATTGATATTAATATTATATTAGTAAGATCTGTGAAAGAGATATTATAAATGCGAATGTTTGGGTAGATGGATGGATGAATTGTTAGAGTTTGAAGCCTAAACGGCCGAACGGAACTCGATTTGGCATAGATGTCATGGTCTGGAAGAACACATAGGCTACTTACTAAGTTTTTTAATTTCATGTGGCTGAAGTCGCGGGTAAAAGATAGTTCGTTCAAAAATCATTTAAATACTACATATAAAAACCTTGGCTTTACTGTTCATGTTTGCTTCTTTAATTTTAAATTTTTATGAATTGTGATTTATTACAAATTATTACTTGAGTAGTGTATTAAGTTAAAAATTAAAAGTGACCTTCTCTGATTCCTGATCTCACTTTGATTTCCAGTATATGTTTACTAAGGACAGGGTTTTTTTATCCATGCCATTGAAAATAGTTTATTTCAATAATTTGTATTTAATTGCAGTGTACTTCCAAAAGGCATAGAAGCCAAGAGAGCGACTTTCTTAATCGATAACACAAGAAAAAGTTTTTATTACTGGCGCCCTCTAACGTCAATAAAGGTTGTCAATCCGCCATTATGTTCCGCCATTTTGCTTGATTGGGAGTGAACGTAAAATATTGTTTCTATGTATTCTAACGCGAAAATTAGTTATTTTTTTAAAAATTAGTGTCTTTATACACTAATGGCTTGCTTAAATACGCTTAAGTTAGAAATCAAGACCTTAGAACATGTGTTTCCAAAAAACCATGAGCGGTTTCAGATAATGTCAGCGAGTGTGGACGAATTGACCTGCAGATTCGTTGGCAATAATGGAAAAAAATATGAAATACACGCAAATATTACCGTGAGTATTCATATAACTAATGTACTAATAGTTGTTGCACTCGATTTTAACACTTGTATTTAAATCTTTGCGCTTATTGATTATCTCTAGTTTGGACAAAGACCCGTTGTTTATGAGGGCAGGGCTGTCAACAGAAAGTTTACGGAAGCATTCAATTCATTTCCCATATGCATATGTGATAATTAACACGTTAGAATTGTTAAACAGCATATTGTTTGTTTTTAAACGTTTTTGTAAGCATGCGTTACGTGTTATTGATTGTATGTTGCCTTTTCAATGCACACAGAGTCCGTGACGAATCATTCTTTATCGATCATAAAGTTTCAGTTTTCTTTTCTGTGTTAGTACAGCTACATTCTATTGAGGGTAATATCTATTTTGTTTGGGTAACGGTACTCTCGCTGAATATTGGAACAAAGGCACTTAGTCATTCTTTGGTGGTTTTTTGTCGTATATACGTTAAACTGCATCATTTTTTTTATCACATGTTACAAAATTTAACTAACAATAGAATCTGTATTTGTATTTAAGAAACACCTAATGTGATATCACAAATAAATCCATGAATATGTCATTGAGACATAAAAGAAGTGTTAAAATATGATTTTGCTAAATAAATCCCATGCCATTCTTCAAATTCATATAGATTTCTTTTAGGAACAGTAATCTTTTTATTGTTAAAGTATGTTCAATAATTTAAAACATGTTAAAGGCATCAAATCATTCAAGATTTACTTCAAAATAAGTCTTCATACAATTTTTAATTGTAATGTAATATTTTTAGGAGACATACCCTACCACACCGCCAGTATGGTTTGCAGACAGTGAGGATCCCGTTGTGACAAATGCTGTACAGATACTCAGCCACACACAGGGCAGAGACAATCATGTTATAAATCAGGTATGTGCCACTCAGGACAGTTGAATGTTCGTCTAATGTTGAGTTTTCACTACCAAAAATAGTAATTAAATGTTACCTAATATCAGTTGAACTTTGAAAATTATGTTTGGTCTCATTTGCCTGTGAAAATTAATAGTTATAATAATCTATTGAATGAAATATGATAGTGCAATAGTCTGTAATAGCTGAAATTTTGTTTGAATGTCAAGTGTTTGTTTTGTTGTATTTTATTTTGTTTGTATGTAGTGAGATATTTTTGTATGATTCCAGGTGGGTATATTATTGAGGGAATTGTGCAAATTACATGGAGTTCCTGAGCCTCCTGACTTAGATTCTTTAGCCCTACCCGTCCATCCTGTTCCCCAACAGAGGTAAATAACTACTTAAGTATAATGTACTTTGTTAATTACTTTAGATAAAGATTTACTTATAATTATGTATTCCTTTGTGTTATGTGTAGTTAAGATTGTTGATATATTTTTATGTTTACATCAAAGACATTCAAATATATAGAGGAGGCATAGACTCAATCTATTAATAGTTACTCAAAACATGTCAATATAATTAATTGTGTTTAAATTTATTGCCATCTAGCTGTTCCCATACAACTTCATCTGCATAAAATTATAAAAGTCTCATTTTATTGTTCACATTTGTCAAATTATCAATTGCAAATGACAAAATGACATGACATGATGTCAAACCATGGCATCTTTGTTTCCTTGATGTTGGCAACAACTTATGGTCTCTTCCCACATTAGGGTTTTTATCCAAAATGTTTACCCCTAAGTTTAACGGCGTGAAAATGTGTAGCGTAAAGCTGTGTTTTACGCTTTATGAAATTAGTATAGATAGGTGTCATTAAATGATACTTAACTTTTTTATTTTTTATGTACTGTTTACCGATTAAATATTGAGTCATTAATTTTTACTTTAGCAAGGTAAAGATAAATTAATATATACCTTTCTCATTTTTACTTACTGGTTAGTTTTTATGTATAAAAAGATGGAGTTTATTATAATTTTGTTAAATTTTTTATATCATATTAGTACAAAGACACTAGGTGGTGTACTAAACTGGACAACTGATAGACTGTTCAAAGAAAGTACCCGTGATTTTTTTTATTCACTATGCCTCATCTATATATTATGTAAATGTCTTTGTTTTTGTGTTATAAGCATTGATTGTGTTTGTTTTGCCATTATAGAGTACCAAGTGTAACTTCTAATGGTGCGGAATCTGGCACCGAGGAAGATGAGGAAATGGCAGCAGAGGAGGATGAGTCGGAAGGGGAGGAGGACTTGCCACTTGAAATGGTTGATGATGCTGGCCGCAGTAACAAGGTAGAGCTTTTATAATCCAATGGTCCCTATGTAAAGTGTTGTAAGTCTTAATTTTGCAATTTACATATTGTTTTAGGTTTTTGAAAATAACTTGACATCTACATACATTTGAGAATACTGTTTAAAAGAACTGTAGATTATAGTCATATATTTGTTTATGTTGCACAGTAATAAATCATAGTTTTGTCTTACAAAATTTGCTTTTACACCATATTTTAGTAGAGGCTATTGTTGTTTTTCTAATTATTTCTACAATGTAATTGCAAAATAAACTTGTCGCAGTCTAGTGCCTGTATTCAATTAATCTATAAGCATATTTACTCTGCTGGCCCACACCCAAAGTCTTGGCATTCGACACAACAGAATGCCAGAGTCGACCCTACTGCGCCATCTCCTGCCTGTAAGTTGTTATGGGGAGATTAATTGGCCAGGGGAGTGGTGTAGGTTAGGAGTTTTTTTTTTTCTGTACCTGTCTATTAAATGTAATGCATCTGTTTCTATTGCACAAAAGCTGTGCCAGTAAACTTCCTTAGAGCGGATTTAAAAAAAAGTAGCCTAAAATATGCCCATCCATGTCTGCTACCCTCTGTTTGGAAATGTACCCTGAACAAATGCAGCTTGCAGAGATTTGTTTTGTATTTTTTAAGTTATTGGAATAACTCAAAAACTACTGGGCCGATTCAAAAACTATTTCACCGATAGAAAGGTAATTTATCTGTAAGTAACATAGGCTATATTTTTATTATTTTTTTAATTTCACGCTAGCGAAATTGCGCGCAACAGCTAGTTTATAGATATAGGCAATGGGGAGCACTCATTACAAAATAGTTAAATTAAATAAATTCAATTCATGTTATTATAGGATGAAATGGAGACAGAACACCTCGCGACATTAGAACGGCTGCGACAGAACCAGCGACAGGACTACTTGTCAGGCAGCGTGTCCGGCAGCCTGCAGGCCACTGACAGACTGATGAAGGAGCTACGCGATATATACCGATCTCATTCTTTCAAGAACAATATGTACTCTATAGGTGAGTTTTGATTTTCTTAACTTAGTATTTCAATTCCATTGAAAACTTTTTGTTTTGGTTAGGGCAAGGCCGAAAGTTCGGTTTTGGTTTGTTCTTCTTCTTCTTCTTAAAGTGCCTCTCCGACTAGCGAAGGTTGGCTTGTTATTTTGCCAGAAATACCAGTTACGGTCAGAATATAGCTTGTAAGAATCAACTTTGACATGATTGTTTTTAAAGATTGACTTTTTAATTTTTACTCTAGCAATAAGTGCTATTTTGGTCTGTTACTCATTTAAAAAACGCTGTTTAATTAGGTTTTAAATAATTGTTATTAGAAACTCGATATTTTCTCAACATTAGGATAGAAATATTTGTTATTGTTGTATTAATGTTAGTTTTACTATTTGTTTGAACAGACAACTTACTACTCAAACAAAAGGAAAATAAATTATTATAGATGCAATAATTTCACTCGCAAACCTTAAGAATTTAACATTAATTTAGTAAATATTTGTTATTACAGAATTAGTGAATGATTCATTATATGAATGGAATATAAGGTTACGTTCAGTGGACCCTGACAGTCCACTGCACAATGACCTGCTGCTGCTAAAAGAGAAGGAGGGCAAGGACTCAATTCTGCTGAACATTATATTCAAAGAAACGTACCCCTTCGAGCCGCCCTTTGTTCGCGTCGTGTATCCTATCATATCAGGTGAATAAACATTTCTTATAATTTCTTATAGGTATGAAGTAAAAGGTTAGTATTGTATGGGTATGTTATGAGGAGGGATGGATCGCATGTAACACGGGGAACTTATTTATCAGTGCAGTAACCCGGTAGAGATGAAATAGAAAGAGATGAATGTATTGCGTGAAAGATGACATGATCAAGAAGGGTGTGATGACTGAGATGACGTATGATAGAGTTATTTGGACAAAAACCTGTTGCGCCGACCCTACGGGTATAGGATCAGGAGGAAGACGATGAAGATGAGTTTCCATTATTTTGAAAGAGGAAGGATTCGTATTTTTGTATGTATTGAAATTACTTATAAACTACAGGATCGAATGCATAAATTCTTTCACCATTAAAAAACTATCTTATTAGTGACTATTTATTTGACGCAGACGAAGTCGCGAGCAACAGCTAGTAATATAAGACTTTAACTTTGTTTAATCTCCCAACTGTTATATTTCAGGAGGTTATGTCCTAGTGGGCGGAGCTATTTGTATGGAGTTGCTGACGAAGCAAGGCTGGTCGTCCGCGTACACGGTGGAGGCGGTGATAATGCAGATCGCGGCGACGCTGGTGAAGGGCAAAGCGCGCATACAGTTCGGTGCCACCAAGGTCGTCTCGCAGACGCAGTACAGCCTTGCGCGCGCGCAGCAGAGCTTCAAGTGCCTCGTACAGATACATGAGAAAAGCGGTTAGTAAAACTTTGTTCAACCTGCCCTTGTACCTACCTCCGTAGGTATTTGCTACTCTTCTATATGTCTATCAGCTGTTATATCTGAATTCACTAGTTAACCCTTAAAAACATGATTTTTTAAACGGAGTTACAAAATGTGTGAGTGCACTCTTTACTCTTTTTTACTAAAGGGGAAAAATAGTAAAAAAAACACAAAACGGTATCTTACTAATGTTATAAATGCGAAAGTTTAAATGGATGGATGTTTGTTAGAGTTTGTAGCCTAGAAAGCTGAACGGATCTCGATTAAATTTGGCATCGACGTAGAGTATAGTCTGGAAGAACACATAGGCTATTTACCAATCCTTAGTTACTCATAAACGAGGTTTAGGTTACCTCAAGTCCGGTGAATCTTTAAATGCCTCTTTAAGGCAAACAGTGGCCATTCAGTCACAAAAAAAATAGGCTATTTGCTTTTGTTTTTTTTTAATTCCACGCATACGGAGTCCTGGGCTAGTTTTAAACATTGCTTGAATATTAATACAGCGTGGCTGTTGGACATACAAATAAGTTCAGTGGGCTAAAATTTAAAGATTTTTCTATTTTGTGGCTGAAAGTTGTATGATGATAATACATATGAGTAAAAGATATTGGAATTTATTAATTTTAACATGAAAAGTGCAGTATATAAAACGGAAGAGGTGTGTTAATTTATATTTTAAAGTAATCTCAATGTTATTCCGCAGGTTGGTTCACGCCGCCGAAGGAGGACGGCTAGGCCGTCTAGCTGTATATTAAGTTTAATGTGCGACAACGCCCGTGTGACAATCTTATTCGTAAAGTGATCTGTGAGCGGACGCTCCGATGTAATTCCATTGTTCGTGTCTCGGAGTCCGCGTTCCGTGTACAGTTGTCACATATCTTGGCGGCTCTAAACTTCATACGAATCGCTGCGACCTTGAGCCGACAAGATATTTGATATGAACTATACCTTGATCTGTATGTTAAGTAATCTGTGCGGAGTGAGTGCGGGCAGTTGAAGAGAGACTCTACAAGACTTATAGGAAATGTTTAATATCTAACGTTTTTTGTAATCAATTTTTTTTTCTCGTCTCAATAACTTCGATACGTTAGCCCAGAAGTGTGAAGTTCGGTAAATTATTTGCATTTCATTCTAGCTATTAAATGAAAAAAACCTGTGATTTGTAAAAAAATGTCTTTTTTTTTCGTTTTTTTTTATTATGCTTAACTAACATGGCAAGCGATTTGATTAATGTGCTAAAACATTCTTGGTCATTGTGTATTTTTTTTTTCAATTCAATAGTAAAAAAAAACAGTCTCAACTACCTTGATGATATACAAGTTAGTGTACAATTACTTTGCTATTGTTTTAAAATATATTAAAGCTTCGAATACACAGAATATGTTGATAAATGTCATTTTACATTTTCGGAGCTAAAGTTTGGATTTTTGTTTGTTATTTTCCATAAGCATCTTTAGGCCGTAGACATGCTGTTTGCTGCCGGGTTCGTTTATCCTTTTACAGTATTCTTGCTGTGACATATTGTTAAACCATTGTTTCAACTTAGGATATCTAAAAATAAAATATACTAGCTGTAAATAATGGTGTTTTTTGAAATATTTCTCCAATATCATAAGCGTTTCAGCGGGACATTGACAAGCAAAATGTATCAAGAATTGTTGGCTTATGTAAATTTATACTAACTAAAACTTCTTAAGGCCTTGGATAAGGAACAAATGTCTTTACAAAAAACAAATATTGGTTGAATTAATATTTAACTTTTCTGAGGCATATAACTGTTATTCTAAAGTCTCGTCAATTTAATTTCTAGTTTATCTTTTTTTTAATTAAACAGATAATTCAAAACCAAATCAATTGATATACAGATTAAATAATATCAACCGTCATTAAGGTCCGTTCACACAGACCGTAGCGCAATTTTACATAAAATATAAAATTGGGTTCACATAGGGTAAAACATTTTTTTTTTAACTTTTTCTTATCAAGGACAATCGTAAACAGGACCTTTTTTAAAATTAAATGAAATTTATTTTTGCGATAAAAACCGCTCTACACTCCGATGTGAACGGACCCGTAAAGACTTGAGAACCTAATATTAAAAGAGATCGAGGGAGTCCAAGAGAGTATTTTAGTGGTTCAATATACAAATACACTTACACCTTTTCATTGATAGGATGCAATCCATTCAGTGATGAAATGGTTGTTATGACGCTAATATCTGCAAGAGTTATGACGTCATCAGCCAAGTATGACGTATTAGATAAATAGGTTTCAAGCATCCTGTACGCATCGTCGACGTTCCTTAACATTGATTTCGATGGTTCGGTAAGTTTACCACCGTAAGTTGGAGCCTGAAAAAGATTAGTATGGTAAATAACAATTTTTGGACACCCAATATTGATTTAAGACCCTAACTAATTTACATAAGTTGATGCGTATAAAGGGTTGTCCGGTAAAAATAAAGGCAGTATTTTATTTAAGTTTTTATGCATGACAATAATTTCATTTTATTTTATGTCTTTACAAAAACGTATAAAATATTTCAGATCGAGGGCACGATACTGAAAACGATGAAAAGTAATCAATAATACAGCTGCACATAATTGTCAATACCGGATTAGGTTAGTTTCTAGTTTTTTCTTTATAAAAAAATCTAATGTCTCATGTTGGATAACATCTTAACTGAACGTATTGTATTATGGCAAATTGATGTATTTATATGTGACATGTAATTTGCAGTTTCGTCCAATATTAATACTTACCATAATAGATCTGAGTCTTGGAAATAAAACGCCGCAATCGAAAAATAGCCTTTGGTTGATTGTAGCTCGCTTTCTCTTATCAGATGGGTAAAGATGTTCGTGTTGACGTTTGGCATATTTATCGAAAAGGTAAAGAATTATGGCGTGGCTAGAAAGAGACAATATTTTAATACTATTGCCCGCGACTACGACCACGTGAAAACAAAAGTGAGTAGTCTATGTATTCTTCCAGGCTCTACTCTACATCTGTACCAAATTTCATCGAAATTTGTTCAGCCGTTTAGGCTACAAACTGCCATCCATTCATCTAAACATACATTTGCAATATTAGTATGATTACGCTAAATTACCAAAATTGTTCCCATCTCTGTCTTACCTATCAGCTAAACAGAAGTCGTCTTCTTCTAGCAAAGGGACAGTCCTCATTGGATTTTTCTGGAATAAATCATACTTTGACAAATGAGCGTCGCCAGTCATCGATCTGACCTGATTAAAGTATAGGGATAGATACCGTTTGTATGGTTTAATAGTTTTATATGGAGTGGGGGGGGGAAGGAGGGGCAAGTGGTGACCTAAAAGTAAATAGACTTATCGTTATTGGTGGTCGGAAAACCTTTGCCTTTTGCATCTTTATCAATGTAGATTAAGATAACAGTGAACAATTGATATCAGATTGTATTACTGTTAATAATGGACGTTTATAAAACGAAATTGACAGTTGTGATCAAAGTACACGAAAAGTGTGGACTTTGACCACTATTATTTGACTATTGGAGAGGAAGTCACTTGTTAAATTTATTACATCTAACCTACACTTCTGTGCGTTAATGTTCTTATTTATATCACTAACCTTGAAATGGATAATGACACTTTTTCTCGTTTAAGATTCTAGTGATATTAAAAAAAATGGCACAAAAACCATACCATTGTAAGTTCCGGTGTGTCCTGTTCCCTTAATACTGGATTTATTTCTTTCATATCCAGATTTAAACCAAGAATATCTGCTACCAACATTACTGTTCGTGCTGGTGGGCTCGCGTCAGTTTTGTATAGCAACGGAGGCATTTTAACAACTGAAATATTTTGTAATGTAAGTAAATTTAAATTTCAAATGAAAAGTAGACAAAACTCTTTAAATATTTTCCACTTTAGCACTGGTTATAAACGGCACAAATGTAACATAATAATTTAAAATAATCTCGCTGTATGTACCTTTGACATAAAGAGATTTTTTTGCGATTAACGTGGGAATCTGAAACCCTACTTACAATTGTAGTCTCCACATTTAAAAATATATTACTATTATCTTATAATAAATTACTACAATTTATTATTAGTGTCAATCTCGTACCTTTAAATGACAAAACACAAAGTTGAACGTATTCGTAACACGACTGTTTATGTTTTCACTTTGCACACAATACGTGATTCAAGATAACCGGTTGTGTAATGAAGTGGAACGTCAATAGTTATCAGCGCCTGAATATATTTAATAGCATTCATATATGATTGCAACTTTGCTGCGCTCGAATAGAATTAAAACAAGATTACTAAAATAGATGTTTTGTTTTTAAATTGGCAGTGTAATTTTTAGTATCTCATTATTATTATAATTTGTTTATTTAATACATTTAATGCCTAATCCCATCAACATTTTAATTTATGTTTTAAGTATTTGACCCGGCGATTGTTATTTTGTTTACATAAATATCTGTGATAATAATTGACCTAACAAATAAAATTGTTTACAGTTAATTGTTATTTGTAGGTAGATGTCATCAGATGTTTTCAAATGATGTAACAAAAACATTTGTTTACGATTTAAATGTTAGCCGTTTTGTATCGTAATTATTAATTTGAATAATATAGAGTTGTAAATAATAGTCAATAATTTTTTAATTTATCAGTTTTTAAAGAATATTCGTTGCGGTCTTTGAAGATGTCTTTTATTATTACTTTATATTGTAGTCTATGTGTAACTAAATAATAATTTCTTCGTTTATTAGTATATATTAATTCTATAGTGCGAGAAAAAAGATGTTTCAGGGAAGGAACACAATATATTTTATTAATCTGAAAATGACAGAAAGATACATTACACATTATAGATACAATTTTTTATTCTTAACAATATTAGTATGGTACATTCGAAAATAAATAGGAGACGGATTCTGCGTAATGCGTGCGTCGTATAGCTTCAGCCAACATGACAGAAATATCAACGGTTTGTAGTTTAGGACATTGCTTCATATGTTTGTCTTGCGGTATTGTATTAGTAACAACAAGCGCCTCTAAACATGAATTGTTTATCTTGTCAATAGCGTTTCCCGCAAGCACTCCATGAGTTAAAATAGCATATATCTTGTTAGCACCCGACTCTCGTAACTTCTCAGCTCCTTTCACAATCGTATCGCAAGTATCAGCTAAATCGTCCACCATTATCGCTGTTCTATTTCTAACGTCACCAACTAATACAGTCGAATCCTCTTCGCTAGATTTTTGTCTCTCTTTATGAATTATAGCGAAGTCTATATCAAGATTATCAGCGATAGAAGTCATTCTTTTTACACCTCCTGCATCCGGTGATACCATAACGCTACTCTTCCATTCCGGTATGTTGTCCTTGATCCATTTGGTTATAGCCGGTTCAGCGTACAAGTTGTCGACTGGTATGTTGAAGAAACCTTGAATCTGGGACGCGTGTAGATCTATTGTAATCACATGGTCCGCTCCAGATACCGAAATAAGATTTGCGAGCAGCTTTGCTGTTATTGGTGCACGGCTCTTTTCCTTTTTGTCTTGTCTTGAATATGGGAAGCAAGGTATGACAGCTGTCACGCGAGATGCAGATGCAATTTTGCACGCGTTAATCATGATTAACAGCTCCATTAGATTGTCGTTTATTTCCCCACATCCACTTTGTACTATGTAAACGTCCTCACCTCGTACAGATTCTCCTATTTCAACATTCGTTTCTTTATTACTGAACTTCTTGGTAGTCGCTCGGCCTAAATCGATTCCGAGTCGATCGGCGATTTTCTTCGCGATATCAGGATGGGAGCTTCCCGTGAAAACTTTGATGTTTGGCATTCTCGGTTCTTGTTTATTTTCTGATGATTTATTACTTTTGACGTTAACTGTTTGTTCTTTTTCGTCCGTTCTCATTAGAGTATTTGAGGCCAGTGAAGAGACTTCACTGTGGTACTATTGATAGCGAAATGGACAGTTGTTTGTATTTAAAACATATTTATCTGAGTTGACCGCGGGGTCAGGTCGATCGATGTCCCGCTCAGTGGAAGTGTACGGAGTTATTTTTATCAAGTTTACTTATATCGTAAGATGTGGTGTAATGTAAATAATTGTTTGCAGGTGGCGATCATGACTGTCTAGCTTGATCATTTTTCCGGCTTCATAATTTACCAATTTAATTTTTATGTTCGAATGACATTTGCTGCGATTTATTTACTTCTCTGAACTTCTCTAATGATAGGAATTTAGATAATTGTACAAATGTTAAATTCAATAATTTATTTTCTGTTAAATTGCATACAGATCAGAATTACGTAAACTTAAAATAAATTTCTTGAATAACTTTTAGGTCACACAAATCAATCGACGTTAGGATTCTCCTATGATTGTCATAGTTATTTAACTCATCGTCCAGTCCGTAAATATTTATTTCTTGTATTCTATTAGCCCAAATAGCGGTTGAATTGCAGAAGATATCGTATTCATCACCAATTGCTGTTACGTAGAGATTTTCATCATCCGCTTTAAATTCAATTGTCATATTTGGTGACATGAAGAGGTTACCTGATGCTTCACAATTAGTTATATCAGATTTCTTTTTGCATTCTAAAGCTATAGTGAGAGCAAAACTTGATTGTAGACGAGTTAGTTCCGCAGTTGCTTTGACATCCTGGAAATTATAAGTATTGTATTAGTTTTACTAAATTAATTCACTTCAAAGAAAGTAAATCCGTAATCTTATAGTCGCCATTTAGACAGCGCGGGATTAAAAAAAATGTAGCCCATAATATGCCCGTCCATGTCGGCTACCATCCAGTGAAAGTCCCGTTAAAATAAACCCAACCGTTTCGGAGATTACCCGGAACAAACGCGGTTTGCGGACAGACAGACAGACAGACAAATAGACAGATTTTTTTATAAATTCGATTTTCGTTATCAGCAACGCAAATACATCATCTTCCCGAAATCTGGAATTTTTTGATATTACAAACAGACACTCCAATTTTATTATATCTATAGATAGATATAGTAATATACAGAATATCCGAAATTGTGTCAGAAAAGAACTAAGACTTACTTTTTGTAGAGGAACGATTGATCCACCGCGGATTAGAGTTAAGAAATCAGCATCTGTGGTTGTCATGGTAACAGCTTCGCCTACTGACGCGTTCAATCGCAATCCACTCCACAACTCGTACCAAGTCCCAGGCGGCATCCAGACATGGACATGAGTTTGACTCGGTTGTAAATTAGGAATAATTAATAAATCTTCACCGACATTAAACTGAGTACTTACATCCTTTAATTCTGATACTTCAGGATATTGATAGAACATCGGTCTAAGCAATGGTCCTTCTTGTAGAGTCGTATAGAAGTAAGAAAGTAGATTAAGTCTGTGATTTAAGGAATTATTTATATAAGTCCTGAAAGTACCGACAAATTGGATAGGATCCCTTTGTGTTGCTTTGGAATTGATTGTGAATATTGGGAAGAATGTAGCTGCCATATACCATTTGACGCATAGTAGACTGTGTTTTTCTATATTGAAGTCTTCTGAGTCTCCACAGACCGGAGAAGACCAGTACCAATGGCCGGAGATCCCACCTAGGGCCATGGCAATCAGTTCCCTGTGCAAGCTTGTCCAACTGGTATCAACATTTTGTCTATTAATGACAATTTTACCGTTCATCCAATGACTTGATGACCATCTTGATAATGTCTGATCGAATATTGAATGTGACGCATTGATGAAATTGTTCCCGTACATGTTATGTTTGAAAATGTATTTACCACCGTCGTTGGGCAAAGATATATTCCATTGTGGTGTACGATTCAACGCATTTTCGAAATTCTGAAAATGTTTTTAAATTTAATAACATATCACGCGACATTCTTTATTCTAATATTTTTAGGCAAAGATTATATGTTATTTAAACATTCAGATACTGTTCTCTTGAAATTGGCGACAAAGATGGAAAAATCTATCAGGTCAATTGGACAATCATGGTTCTAAAAACGGACAATTCTAAATGCATAAGAAATCATACCTTATTAAAATATGGAAGATATGAATAAGTTTCGTTGTGTAGTTTTTTGGATTCATCCAAAGGCCAGTTGTTTTCTAAAATTATTCCATCGACATTGGTGTCATAAATCCATAAATCTCTAATTAGTTCTTCTGTTATTGTTCCATAATCAGGATAGACGACTGTATCGTTCCCTATTTTACCTAAATACGGGTCTAAGTTGATGGAATCTCTTAATAAATATCTTTCGTATTTCGTGAGAGTTGCTGCACAGTTTCTAGTGGTATTGTTTACTTCTTCTTCTATGGTTGTGTTTACTTCATGACGAATCTGAAAATACAATCATGTTAACTTAAATCTTTATGATTCCGAAGTTTAGATAGTTTCTTACAAGATAGGTCAGTCAATAAAGCTTTTAGAACTCATAACAAGCACTACTTTTCGATTAAAAAAACAATTTTCAAAATCGCTTCTCTAGGGGCGGAGTTATGCAGTAACACGTAAAAAAATATACAGACGAATTGGGTTCCTCCTTTTGGGAAGTCGGTCAAAAAGAATCTTCTGTGATATACTTACATATGGTGAAAGATGTGGCATAAAACGTTTGTTAAATCGTCTTATTAAACGTAGTCCTCTAGTAATAACATCGCTTTCAGAATTATCACACTGGTCACTATTAAAAACTATAGGTATTGGACCACAGGAACTTTCGAATGGTAGACGTTGTCTGGATGCTGCGTTCATAAACGTACTAAATTGCGTAAAAGCATTATCTAGTGATCCTGGAAATATACTGGAAAATAAAAAAAAACGAAATTGTACTTTATACGTATCATAAAACTCCTAACGGATATAAAAATCTGATTTATCATTTATAGAAAAAAAAATTGAAATAAACTCTGATACCTGCATATGTGAGGTCCAAACATCCAGTATTGAAAGTTTTTAAAAGTCCCAATATAATTCATGACTTCTTTCATTACTTGATCAGGTCTTGGTCCAGTAAACAAATGAAATTTTAAACCAAAACTGGTAATACCACGTACAACTATCTGATTCTCAGCCAGAATTGATACTTCGGTTGGTATACTAGAGTCCAACAGTAAACCATGATAGGATTCATTAATCTTAGCAAAAATTAGCGGAACTGAACTAAATCCTTGATTGTTGTTATAAATTACTTTAACAGTGCCAGCTTTTAGGGGAATCTCCCCCAAACCGTACATAGATTCATTTGTTATTTTAAAAGCAATCTCCCATATGTTATTTGAAGCTATTAGAGGACCTCGTAATGTGTTAAAAATGTTACCCTGGATCGAGTTAACAACAATATTCAATTCTGGTGATGATATTGAATAATTATAATCTTTATTTTCAATTCTTCTACCAGATTGTGTTACTAATTGAGGATTGTAGAAATTGATTGATAAATGTCTTGATGTAATTTCATCGACGGATATTCTTAAATTGGGTAAACTATTCTGTAAGGAATACGGCGTTGTTGATACTCTAGGTTGTAGAGTAACATTTTCAGACCATTCACGATCAAGAATGTAGGAGAAACGAGAAGGTAGTCTGTGGAAGCAGAATCTATTTCTGACGTCATAGCAACATTGGGGATGGCAGTTCTGTTCGTTCATAGTGCCAACGCCACACGCGAGACGGATGTCTCTTTGTAAAAGACATGATCCTGTTGAATAACCGTCGGAAGGTGGTGAGTCTACGCTTGGGAAGAAGCAGAACTGGTAGATCAGAAGTGGAGCAGCGATAGTTAGTAGTAACACGACTATTACAACCTTTAATGGTCTATTCAATAGTAGTTGATCGTACCAGGTGACTTCTGGAAATAAAAAATAAATACTTTGAAACTGTCGATGTCGATAAGCAGCGGTCTCTCGAATTTTGGCGATTTCAGGTGGCCGCTTGCTAGTTAGCCTTATAATATAAAATTAATACAAATATACGCAATATACTTACGTTTGATGTTCTCATATTCATACATTAAATCGTTTTCATCTTTTTTCTCTCTAACATCTTGGCTGATATCTTCCGCGCGAGGTATCATTGTAGTCCGTCATTGGTCAAAAATATTTCCTGCGCATAATACTGAATTAAAGTATTTATTTTGCAAAACACTGCATAGAAAAGCTAGAAACTATAAATAAAATGCATTTTTGCTATCTTCATAAATCACAAATACATGAATACGAAATATTAAATCGTTTCGATAATTTTCTTGTTAATCTATGATTTAAAAGTACAAACCTAATCAACACTAAGCGATTGAAAACTTATTTACACATAACACAATATATTTTTTTAAGAAAACAATAAAACTAACTACAAAAGACTTGAAAACAAAATTAAAACGCCGTCACAAAACAGATTATCTATCGAATTTTATAATTGTTTGATAAAATCGATAAGATTAGAACGAATCGATTTTAATTATACGAAGAATATTGATAACATTGTCCTTTGATGCGTCAAGATTTTATTACAATAATAATCTATAACATAATAAAAGAAAAATGTGTTGCAAAAACCACTTCGTATCTTTACTTGAATTTTCTTATTTTATCTGTACAAGTCATTCTTATTCTGAAATCATAGTGGCCAACTAAAGCTGAATGTGGTCTTTGGACCCATGTCACTATTGGCGTCACCAGTCTATAGTCATGGGGGGTCAGGTCCAGTGGATGGATCAAGGGGGGAGATCTATGATTAATGGGGACTTATTATGAAATAATTTATACATTTAATAGAAAATTTAATAAATCTTCTGAATGATAACCGTAACAAGGCTGTGTTAATTTATACCTAAGTTTCTATATTATAAGGTGGCAAACGAGCAAGCGGCCACCTGAATCCGCCGAAATGTCGAATCGACTGCTGCCCAGACATCCGCAGATGCATTGCCTGCCCTTAATCGACGGAAGAGTAGACGCACATAAATATTTTCCCTTCCTATGCGTCTCCTTCACCGTGATTTTTTTCCTTCCCATACTTTCCTCTTAAGAAAATAATGAAAAGGGAATAAAATAAGGCCTTTCTGATAAAAAAATAAGACACATTTTATTTTTAAGTGACATTTATTTATATAAAAAATCCACACTTACATTTACTCGTTAAACTAACAGGCATACTTAAAGTCTAGAATACTAAAACATGACTAGAGTGATGTCAATCACTTATGAATACTTAAAATAGTTTTTACGTAAATTTAATTTGTTGTTTATTTAACAAACTATACAATGATCAACATTAGTATGAGAAATACGATACCAGTTATTTTGATTTCGTATATCAAGTTTTGAATGTCACTTATATTCCTATTTGAATTAAATGTTTATAAGTACTCTAGTTGACAAATATCTTGAAGGCTAGAAACATCGTACGAGTCGCTACACAGAACAATTTTAGCTGCAGCGGGCGTAATATGCAGATAATACGCACTGCGCGCAGTTGACCTATTGCCGCCAAAATATTTGACAAGACATATACATATTACATTAAAATTGCTTATGTCTTAATTGCATACATTAATCTGTTGAAATTATTCAAATTACGATAATATTCTTAGTAAAGATTAGTTTTTCATGCAATTGGTGTACTTAAATTTGTTAACCGACAATTCCTTTAATATAAATTGAATTCAATGACCTCTAAACATGGACAGGATAGCTGTAGAATTTTCTAATTGCGGTAAATATTGACGAAAATTCATAATATAAGAGATAGAACATTTTGTGTTAGAAGCAAATTCTATTATTGAAAGTTACCTATCCATACATAGAGATCATTGTATTCATTGCGTTACATGTCTACAGAGTCTACACCATACGCGTAGGAAGGATACTTAACCAGTTACTTGCATATTTGCATTTCTAACATTACATCTATAGCTATCCTTTAACCCTTAATTCGAAGGAGTTTTTGTGGAAATAAATTATATGTTACCTGCACACTCTCTCGTATTATCAAAATCTCACGTATATTTCTCAAAACTAGTTCAGATTTGCCTATCGAATTAAGCGTTAATAGACATTAAAAAAGAATACACTGCTACGCGGGGTCCCTTCTTTTCTAACTAATCTAGATTTAATAATAAATTGCATACTTTTTAAACCACCTGTAGTCTTCAAACAGTCGAGATGGGAAATATTTTTTAGCTATGGTTTCGCTTTCTAATTAGGCATTGGTGATACGGATCGTCTAGCTTGTAGCGCTTTATTGTCGCAGTATGTTCTTATATCTGCCATGGGCTGCATTAGAAACACTGGCACGTCGTCATCGCGTTTCTGAAAGAAAAAAGAATAAATTTATTAATCTTTGGATACTCCATCTTAAATGTTGTCGACCTAATATATAAATGTGTAGGAATTTAAGACGGAGTGACGATAGGAAAGATCACCAGACATTGCCGGACCAGACTAGCATCGGACAGGAACACATGAAAGAATTTGGAGGAGGTTTTCTCCTCTATAGACGGAAGTTACACAGAAGATCAAGAGTATTAGGTACTATTTTGTACAAACACTAACATATATTTTGATCTGTAACATTTATGATAGTTTTTTTAATGTAAACTGTGTTATGGGAAAATAAAGCTATCTTTATCTATTATTTAAATATGTTAAAACCGGAATCTACGTCGTCATTATCGTCTCCTTATCCTACTCATTCTATCCGCTATTTTGTTAATGCCTTTATTATCCATACCTTATTCTATAAAAAGCGTTGTAAGTAATAAATTAATTCAACAAACCTGGAATAAAACTTCGCCTTCGAAGAATGTCAGTTGATGCTTTCTCGTCCGAAGCAATATTCCAACAAGCTTGTCTGAAATTACTGTGTATATCTGAAACAGAGATTTGCATTAATTTAAAATTTAAATCAAATAATTTTTCTCTAATCATACTAATATTATAAATGCGAAAGTTTAGATGGATGGATGGATGTTTGTTAGAGTTTGTAGCCTAAACGGCTGAACGGATTTCGATGAAATTTGGTATAGATGTAGAGGATAATCTGGAAGAACACATAAGCTACTCACTTTTGTTTTTTTTGTTAATTCCACGCGGACGGAGCCGCGGCCGAAAGCTAGTATTATAATATTTATCTCAGAGGTGGATCGTTACTACGACAGGGTTTTGTTACGCTGGTTGAATTTTTTGCGGATAAAATGATTTGAAGTTTTTCGCTGCTGCGTATTGCCTCCTAAAAGCGGAGACCGATGTTAAAGATTAGGGTTTCCTAATAGTGTTTTGTTACATATGCTGTAGATTTTAATAATTACTATTTCTGTAGTCCGATTTATTTCTGTTATATATTTCATATTCAATCTCCCAAACATTTTTTTCGCAATCGTGACTCATAATATTTTAAAAATATGTTGCAGTAACGGAACGTATTCATAAATTTAGTAAAACGCGATGAATACACGTAAATATTTATTTAAAACGAAGGTCGATTGTTCTTAAATATTGAACATAAATAAGCGAGTTTTAAATTTATTTATTCAACTGAACTGTTACGTTGAAATAAAAGATTTCTTAAGCAAATTAATAGTTACGCATTACGCATGGGTCATATCTATATGCCAAAAATTTTATTATCGTAAAAATATTATACTTCCAGATCAAGCTTCTTTAAAAAATTGACAGAGGCAAAGAAAGAGGAAATCATATTTATTTCTCTTCCCATATTCGGCCAGATCCGTACAAAACTAATTACGTGTCTGAACGGTCCGCCATTAGCAAAAGCAGTTCCAAATTTAAATCATGGCCGCCAAACGGAATGTCAAATGACGTCACAGGTCCGGACGCGGTTTCGTGTCTCCGATGTTCTACGTATGAGCGCGGGAAACATCAAATCTTCGAGGTTATGTAAACAGTCACATCCTTTTTATGATTTATTGGTTTTGGTGAGAATAATTGTATGTATTGCAACGATTTTTGGGAATATGTGTTTATTCAATGATGAGCCCTCACATTCATTATGTTATGTATGCTTTCGGTCTTAGATGTTAGGTATCGAATATTTAGAAAATGCGTCGGTTGTATACAAAAGTGCAACAAGAAAAAAACAGCAGGACGGAACATTTCTTACTCCGTAATTACGTACCAGTGGTGGATTATTCCCAACCATCACCCGCTCTGTCCCCACGTGGAAAGAGATGAGAGTAAAAAGTTTCATCCGTCCCGCCTTTTGCGACAAGCGGACGGTTGGACTTATTTTATTTCATAACGGTTTCATATGTCACCTTATTAGTGATAGTGGGACTAAAAGGTGGGACGGATGAAGCTTTTTATTCTCACGTCAGAGCGGGGTGACGGCTGGGAATAATCCCCTCTGGGTTACAGTCGTTTTTATGTAATTAAGAACTCTAGCACAAACCTAATTTGTTTATGACAAAGAACAAACCGCCGTAGGAACAAGCCGTCGCGTTCTTCGAATATTTCAAACGTGTTTCATCCTCAGATACGATGCCAAGATCGTTATTATCATGCAATTTAATCGTGTACAATAAATACAGACTCAAAACAGATGTCGCGTAAGTTCAATTATAAATTAGTTTTTTTGTTACGTTTCAAACAAATGAAAATTTATGAAGATTGTCTATGTTTTTCATATACTCTTGCAATTACAGACGTAAATCTGTATTCTAATACGATAAAAGGCTTTCATTATATACATTTTAAGGTTATCAAACACTACTGTTTTCCCCAAGTTGTTAGTAAGGGTCTATCGACTACCACGTGTTATAAGTTTCATATATCTTAACTTTTATTTAGAAAATATTAGTAGATTTTTATTAATTTACTAATACTTCCTTTAACCATCCCAACTAAGTTGTGCTAGCATTATGTTTCACGACAATATTCGAATGACGGGATTCGAACCCTTGACCGCAAGATCGGTAGTCGGTACCCCAAACCATTATATTATCGCTTGATTTATTTAGTTTCTTAATTTCTTACCGTAAAAAGTTCACCGAATGAAATGACTTTGGTAGCACTCTGCAGTTCTGGAGGTAGGAGACTCTTGCAAGGAGTTTTGCCGTACTCATTGATGATTTCACAGAGTTCCTTCATCTCTGTACATACTCTGGCTTGAGCTTCCGCTCCTCTGTACTCCGTTTTCGAACCAGGTATCGGTCTGTAAGGGTAAATTAAATCAGTTGATTGAATCTTAAGCGTACTAAAGATTCATCTATTGAGAGTTTCCGGCACTTTTCTAATCGAATCAAATACCCATTTGATATCTCATTATCATATATCTTACTAATATTATAAATACGAATGTTTATATGGATGGATGGATGGATGTTTGGTAGAGTTTGTAGGCTAAACGGCTAAACGAATTTCGATTAAATTTAATATAGATGTAGAGGATAGTCTGGAAGGACACATAGGCTACTCACTTTTGTTTTTTTAATTCCACGCGTGCGTAGTCATGGGCGAAAGCTATGATATGATGAAGATATGATAAATGCGAAAGTTTACATGAATGGATGTTTGTTAGATTTTGTAGCCTCAACGGTTGAACGTATCTCTATGAAAGGCATAGATGGAAAGCAGTCTGGAAGAACACATAGGCTACTTACTTTTGTTTTTTTAAATCCACCCGGACGGTTTCGCGGGCAAAAGCTCGTTTGTAATTTTTTAATAAACTGGCACAAGTAAATGTTCATTTACATATACAAAACGTTTAAATATTGCAGATGAACTCGAAGGTTTAAAGTTCATTCATATGTTGTTAAAATTAAGCCTTAGGAATTATATTTGTTTACCAAAGACGTGGACAGGCGTCTGGTGTACGTCAAATCGGTCAACAACTTTACTCTCGTAGTATTTTTATAACAGTGGATTTCCACTGCCACAGACACTTACGGTGAAATGTTATTTGACACTTACAGCGCAATTAGATCCCCTTATAACAAAATACCACTCTTAGAATGCACGCACCCATTTGATTAAACGATTGTGTGCGATACAAAACTGTTTAGTCTTGCTTTGATACCTATGACCTTATATGGAGGGCACACTACTCGATTTTTAGTTGGGCAAACAACTAAACTAGTTGCCGAAACAGTTGAATTGGTTGCGAAACAATCGACAATCGCAATTTAATTAATTTTAAGACTGTACTCACTTGCCATATTCGTCTTTTGAGAATGTCGGCTTATGATTCTTGTCGAAGTGACCACTGAACGCCGTGACTTTCTGCAGTTCGCTGTGCGCCTGCGCTTTTGTGTCGAAAGAAGATATTAAATCTGTTAGAGACGAACTCTGAAAAAAAGAACATTAATTAGCTAACAACTTCAATAATCCGTTACGTTTCAAAATGAACAAAGAAATTCTCATAGTTAAGATATACTATTTTTTTTTAATTCATTATTATTATTAAAATAGTTAGTTTTATTGAGCTATTTCGAGATAAGCTTCGTTTTAATCTATACTAATATTATAAAGAGAAAAGATTTGTATTTTTGTATGTATTTGATTCACGAAAAAACTACTAAGCTGATTTTAAAAATTCTTTCACCATTAAAAAGCTACGTTAACAGTGAGTAACATAGGCTATCTTTTTAATACTTTTTGATTTCACGCGGGCGACGTCGCGAGCAACAGCAAGTGTATTCTAAAGAGGAAAGTTTTGTATGTATTGGTATAACTCAAAAACTAATCGGCCGATTTCAAAAACTCTTTCACCATTAGAAAGCTACGTTAACAGTGAGTAACATAGGCTATAGTTTTTATTATTTTTTTATTTCACGCGGTCGAAGTCGCGAGCAACAGCTAGTACATTATTAAGATTCGATTATTATTATTGGCTTTAAATTTAAACTGTTCGACTATTAATAGTTAGATCCTCCGGATGCGGAATGTCTGGAATCGTGCAGTTGTTTTGTTTATTCTATATAAATTTGTCTTGATTTATTTTGTCGCGTTTGCCAACACCTGAGGTAGACGCGCGGGGGTGAGGTGCGGGGCGAAGTGTGGGGGTCTCTGCCAAACATCAATCATCAGTGGTCGTGATGCTATTTCCTCTTGTAAACAGACGTCTATGATCTATTGACGTTCTCTTAGCTTAAAATATATTTGCAATTTTTTAGTGTCCAGGGTCTTAAAATAAATTTCGATCTATTGTGTTTTCCAGTTAAATAGACGCATATGTCTGGTTTGCATTTATCCAGTACAGTTGGATTGTTGACGCCATCATGCCAGTTGTATGCCAGCACGATCGAGCGTTACTGGCCGACATTACTACCGAAAGGTCTAATGTATTGAAGATTTCGTGTACTAGGAACGCATGAATCAGGTTACCTTGGCCCTGCGCCGGCCGGCCTCGGCGCAACTCGCGTTGAAACGTCTTTGACGTCGGCGCATACGAAACTGACTCACGCTTCCGTCTGCGATCTTGGAGGATTTACAGGAATGCTATTGGTATTTACGCGTTAAAATTAGTACTGGAATTCGAACTCGCTATATCGTTTTTGGTTTGGCAAAATACTGAGACATGGTTGTAAATCTTTGTAATGTTTGTACAAAGATTCCGTGCGCAATGTGCAAAGCGTGCTGCATTTAAATAGATTGCGGTATGTCTTTTGTTGAATAGATTATTTAAATCTATGTACTGTATATAATTACTGTATACTGATTGTAAATATCTTCCTTGGAAGTCGCTATACGATTGTCGTTTTTAATATTATCTATACTATTATAATAAAGCGTAAACACACACTTCTTTGTTGCCTAAGATGTCAGCAATTACAGCATATTTTTGAATAATTATTTTTTTAATAGAAAGCCCTACACTTACATCATGCTTTAGGCTATATATATTCACGCCATTAAACTTAGGGTGTAAATATTTTGGATAAAAACCCTAATGTGGGAAAGAGACCATAAGTTGCTGCCAACATCAAGAAAGCAAGATTGTCAAGATTTGTCATGTTATGTCATTTTGACATTTGCTATTGATAATTTGACTAATGCAAATAATAAATTTATAATTTCATGCGGATGAAGCCGCACGGGAACAGCTAGTTATAGCATAAAGCATGAAATAGCTTTTTAAATAATTTTATTAGTTTAATAGAAAAAATAAAGACGCTATTAATGAATTAACATGTGTGTTAGAAATAAACATGAAAGCTACGAGAATCATATGTTAGCAAACTAATTTTTTTCATTATTTAATTTCTTTACGTCATACGAATATTTATGACAGTCGAAATCATTGCGAAATATTAAAAAAAATATCCGTTGAGTGTCTTCGAGTTTCAAATTCCACGGATAGAAATAAAGTTATCTACTATTATCAAAGCGATGTTATAAGTCATTAGGTGTAACAATTGAGTTTGAAAGCGCGGCGTATAGCTGGCTGGTGGCCAAAAATCTGTGTGACATTGTGTATTTTTACTATACATTTTATTATGTTATTGTTTCTTGCCTTTCTTTTATGTTATGTCACGTATTTTCACGTCAATCAGTCTTTTAACAAATTAGTAGTTAACTCACTTATCTTACTTCTTACTAATGTTATAAACACGTTTTGATTGGATGGATGTTTGTTACCAAGTATCTCCATAAAGGTTCAACGGATTTTGGTAAAATTTGGCATAGATGTAAAACAAAGTCTAGAAGAAGACATGAGAGAATTTAGAGTTGTTTTTAATTCGCGCGTACGGAGTCTCCGGCAACAGCTTGTATATTACTAAATTTCGAACATTCACTTAATTCAGTTGGTTAGTTTTTTTGCTAAAATATTGTAATAGGCTATGGTTTACGACAATAGTCGAAAAGCGGGATTCGAACCCTGGACCTCAATATTGGTAGTCCCTACTCCAAACCATTAGGCTATTGGCGCTTGATTGATTGTTTACGGATTTTAATAATGAAATATTCACTAAAGGATACAATATATAAACATTTGTCTATCTTCAAATAAAAGCTTTATTTAGAATTATGAAGTAGAATAATACAAAAATATGTATTGTCAGCAAAAATTTAGATTCCAGTTGTATGAAAACCATTGTCATCCGGGCATAATATGTATATAAAAACTGCCACAGACACATATTTATCATGAAATAAAGACAAAAGCAGCTTTTGATATGTAATACGTAGATAATATTCTAAATATCACATTTATTTTGCTAATTTCTTTCATCATTCTCCTTTTTATAAGAGAAGGGAGCAAACGAGCGGCGGGAACACAGAGGTGGTCAACGACGCCCATGGACATCCGCAACACCAGAGGAACTACAGATGCGTTGCCGGCCTTTGAAGAAATTAGTGAAATTACTTAATTCTCTTAGTGAAGAATTAAATACACTAAGTGTAGACTGATTATTGCTGTGAAATTCCTAAATTCTTAAAAAATAAATCATCTCTTTCAGTCATCACTGAACAGAGATATCTTTCTGTACCGGTGTGTAGTGTAAACCCACGTTTACGTCGATGTTCACATAAATAACATGTGCCAATCAGTTGCCAAACAAAAAAAAACAATGACTAAAGGCTGAGGTTACAAGCAATTTATATTTCACGAAAATGATATCCTCAGTCATAAAGCTAAAAATAATTACCATCAGTGATTTGTCACTCTTCATTACTCAGACTAATTAAGAAGTTAGTTATAAACGTCGATGTAGGTGTGAATCAGTACTGAACTTTTATGGAATATCTCCGTAGCATGTATAGGGCGTCTAATGAAAAAATCATACTAATATTATAATGGAGCATAGATGTATAACATAGTCTGGAGAACACATAGGCTACTTACTTTTGTATTTCTTTTAATTCCACGCGGACGGAGTCGCGGGCTAGTGTTCAATAAAAACTTTGAATTAATCTATATTACTTGCAGCTTGACCAAGACTAAGTCTAGATTGTTTTCGTAATTATTTCCATAACAAATACTTTAATTTTATTGTCCCTCTTAATTTTTTTTAAATAATGTTTCATTTTAATGTCATCTTATATCTAAAATAATATTATAATTGTAGATAACAAAGCGTAATTATTATTATTGTGGTGTAAAATTCGAAATCTTTGTGAAAGTTATACGTTCGAATTTCACTAAGTATACAGTGTGTTACATTTACAAAAATAATTGATCAAATTTTATAGAATATAAAATAGAATTAAAATTTTACTCAAGTAAAAACACGTCAGAAAATCACCACGAACAGTTCTTTGGAACTCTTAATATAACATTTTTTCTGCTTTATCTAAGTTAATCAAGTAAGCTTTATAAGTTCTTTGATTTATGAGTCGTGAATATTTGACATAAAACATAATTTTAAATGTAGGTACCGCTTTTTATTTTCTTCTCAAGTATTATTTATTGTTTAAAAGTTATCACTATAAAATACTTACCCTCGATCTTCTCTTAATGGGATCATCACCAGGGATTGTAAGGAAGTTTCCACTCATGCTTACGACACACCAAAAACTTCAAATGAACGTTTAAACGCGCAATATTTATTGACCGTGCGTACACGACGGTGGTTTGTGATGAAGTGGCGGCTGGGTATGAATGGATGACGTGCCCGCGCCCATCTCTCCCCCTCTGTCCCCCGTTACACCCGCTGTGATGCTGCGATGTCGTAATACGTGTGGGTCTACGTTTCAGAATTAACGCATGACGAAAAGTCATGAAAAAAATGCAAACAGATTTGAGTTTTCTGGTTGAATTTAGTTGTAATTTCTTAATGTAAAATACTAATTACCTTCAAAAGTTAATAAACATAACAATAATTTCGTTTTTTTTTCTACCCTTCCATAACCTCATAGTACTGTTCAATTTCGTACTACTTTGTTAGATAAATATTGAGACTAAGGGCCTGTCCCACCACTCAGATAGCTTAAAAATGACGTTATTTCAGATGAGGTAACAAAATCCGATATTTCCACCACATATTTTACACGTTGAATAGTTATCAGACAATTTAGAATTTGATGGGACAGGCCCTAAATAAATGTGGAAGAGTTATGTTTAAAGAAAAAAACCAGTTATATTTGAAATACGGATATTTATTTACTTTTTCATAAAAATTCTAAATTCAATAATGTGTTTAAACATGTAACATTTACATATATGCATTTATACAAAGATATATGCAATGTTTAGTGACAATATTAATACTAAAACTGGAGCGCAACAGACTTACAAAGATGCCTATATGAATGCGATGATTCCATCACATTTTACACTTAAAAAGTATTTACCAAGTATTGTCGAATGGTAAAGATTTACGTGATAATATTTTTTAATGTTATTAACATAAAGATGAGATTAGAATGAATACTGTGCGCTTTTCTTCTATTCACTCACGAATCTTGATATATTTACATAGAGACCTGTCCCCTTAGACAAAGTAACATTCGATTATCACTATCGCTGATCGAAAAGCCAAAAATTTATATAACTGACAATAACATTAGATAAGTCACGTGCTTGTCACGTTTTCATTCTTATACATTTTTTCGATTATAATAGCCATATCGCTAATAAAAAATTAAATTTGTCTAAGGGGACAGGTCTAGTAATACCTAAGAAATAAATACTAAAGACAACGTCTTTATACAAATATATCAAGATATCATCAGAATATGCTTTCTTGATGAAGTGGACGTACCTACTGATTGTAAGTATATACAAGTGAATGTAAACATTGAAGAATTAATCTTCAATGAAACGAGATGTTTCGGAACAAACCTAACCTTCCTTCCAATAGACGGAAATTAAGATCTACTATCCGTCAACGATCATGTTCCATCGAAATTCCCACCTAAAATACCGATACGTTATCCAATAAGCACACGTGAATTTAAAGTTTTGAACTCTTTAATTATTGCGATGGACAAAGAATTACATAATAATTGTAACTTTAAAACTATGTTTGATCCAACGTAAACACTAAAAGGAAACCACTGCGTCTAAACTAGATTCAGTCAACGCGGTTACAAAAAAATTTCGATTCAAAAAAACTCCAATAGACGAGAAGATTAAATATTAAATATACATTATTGAGATTTGGACTAGACAAACCACATTCTCTATCTACAGATATGTAATCCATGATAAATGCTAATATTTAAAAATCTAACTTCCGTGTGGGTAAAGTTATGTGCTGATACGCTTTCAGCATCGCGTAGACTCTGTACAACGCTTTTATAAGGTCATCGCTCATTACACATTCAAATGTCCCTTCGTCGATATCCACAAGTCGTTCAAACGTTGAAGGCAAGTGAACCACTTAGTAAACTGGACGTAACATGTGTGGTGAGCGACAATCTTAAACGATTTTGTCATTTTAATCTATAATCTCACTTTAATAAACATTTCATATTAAAATTCTATAAACAAATAAATGCAACATCTATTTTCAACTACTTAACTGGTTCTTTAATGTTCGCAACCTACAATATAATTTAATTCATTTTCTACTAAATTATTGGACGATCAGTTCTTTTCTAAACATGTGCTAAATCACTTGAGTTGGTGTATTGCGATTTTCATCTTAATACTATATCTTAAAACACTATCAAAACAGATTTGGTCAGTGACAAAAGTATCGTAAAAATCGTATACTTTCCGAGGTCAGATTTCAACGTGCCAGAGTCTACGTGATTTCTGAATGCAAGGCTGGTTGGTGAGATAAATCTCAAATTGAGATTGTCAACAAAATTCAACACGTACTGAGAATCTTTATCCTACATCTGATTATAACAAAATGCATTTGAGCACTGATACGAGACAGATAACTCCTTCATTCCGGCTACAACCGGACTCCACATCTACACATCGAAGCCTTTAACAATAAACACGCATGAACTTGTTCCAAACTATTCCCGCATACATCCACGATAGTTATGTTATTTTTATAACAATATCACAATTTTCAATAATATACAAAAAGACATAGGAGATTTATATATCATTTTACAAGACAAGCGTATTAAAGTAAGGGTAAAGATGTGCTATAACTTTTAAACAACAATTTTGTCGATTATTTACAATTTTGTAACCAAGGCAATATTAAACAGTTTACATAAAACGGGACAAGAGATGGGATTATATTGAATATATGACCGAATGGTATTTAAACGCACAATCGGCAAGCGAGCCTGTTAATTAGAGGGTATATTTGAAGCAGTTTATATGAAGACCGGTTAATCTCCTGCGCTGCACACAACCGTAATTTGAATGCTCCTATAACATATTCCTTAACGGAAGCATGAATTTTTCAACAAATGGAGAAAATAATTTACATAAGGCCATAAAATACTGTACAAGTTTAACGATTAGATGATTGATTAGATAAATAATTATGCAGATTTAATATTAAACATTAAGGATTAGGTAATGCATCCATATTTACGAAAGTTTGGTCCATACAAATATCAATACAATCAATTGAATGTTCTCGATGGCTTTATTAATTTTAGGCATGCAGTAAAAACTGTCTTCAACAATATGCAAAAATCCCATTAAACAACATTAGAAATATTTAAAAAGTTATTAATTGTGTATTTAACAAAATCTAAACCATTTTTGCTGAATGCCTAAACGGAAGTATTGGCTTCCGGCCGTTATCGATCAGCTTCTATTGAAAAATATACAAATAATTTGTGCAAATTACTTCACTATACGCAAAACTTAAATTAATTTATTTACAAAAAATCATTCCGGTCTACGAAATAGAATAAAAAAACGAATGCTGACCGAAAACTACCGAAGTTATTGGAAGATACACTTCAGTGTCGAGCGCTTTGGTACAGCGAACTGCCTCGCAGAGAGCGCGCGCGAGCCGCCGCGTATCGTTCAAGTCAACTGGAACTACATCACAACTGGCTCCTTTGTCCCTTATAATCTTAATTAAGTTCTCGCGTGCATCCAGAGCGGTGTGTGGATCTCACGCAGGCGCCTGACTGCCGGCTGGAGCCTCCGACCTCATTTCCGACTTGAGCTTGACGAATTCTCTCGCCACTTCATCGCTGTGCCTCTGCGATAGAATCCTTAGTATCGTCCACCCGGTCTCATCCATTTTGACTCTCGTACCCAATGGCAACCAGCACGCACATGAACCCTGTCAAATTACATAAATTAGTTACAATCGTATTTACCAATTTTAGATGTTAATATTTAAAGGCAGGAAAAACTTCGTTATTCTATTTCTATTCTACATTTTCAACTACTTCTTCAGATACGTATAGGTAAAATAAGATAAGAGTCTTTTGGTATCTCCTGCTCCTATTTGAAATTGAGTTGTTGAGAAATGTTACGTACCTGTTCAGCGATGTCCGCCAATCTCATGACAGCAAGGCCCACGAGGCGGTCCTCTCTTGCGAAGCAGTAGTCCCGCACACACACATGCAGCTCGAACAACTCCAGCTGCTCCGTCGCGCTCACCATACTGGACAAGTTAAAGAGTCCCTGTACTTTGAGGAAAGTTCTTTCTTCTAAACGGGAGTGTTTAGGAGAAAGGACTCCTCATTTCCTCATTCATTGTTTCTGTCGTAAATCACAGTTACTAGAGTTCTCCATAATAATGGTATATATTCCATAACATAAAGATTATCTCAGGGAATCAATAGGAAGGTCACAATTTGTGCATGCTACAAACAACTAAAATACTATTTGATTAACAATTAGTTTAGTTATATTATGATCATAAATGTGTTTGAATTAACGCTCTACAATGAATACAAATACATGTAAAACTTACAAATGGAAAGTCTCATTGAATTTGGGACTCCAGTTGTTGCTTTTCGACTTGGTGGCGAATTTTCTCTTCTTATCCGCGAGGTGGGGACCGATCAGGTTGACTTCAATGAATGGACGGAACATGCCACTGGCAATCACCCACTTCAAATCGTTGGCGGCAACCACTGCAAAGATATTACTCATATCAAAACCATCAATGATATATCTATAATTTTATCGATCTAAATCGATATCTAAAGTGAATGTATCAGAATAAACAAAGGAATATCCGTTCCATACTCAGAAATTACATAAATGGAAAATAATCGCATACTTATGCAACACTTCCATATTAAGATAACCCGTCAGATTGTTTTTCATTTACGATCAAAAGTAAGTGCTATAGTTAATCCTTTGTGCATATAGACATTTTTCAAGCCCACAATGTTTAGAGTATCTTGAGCAGGACAGTTTTAACAACGTTAAACATGAAAATTAAAAATACGTATACATTTTTGTTTTTATTCAAATTAATTTTCAAACCAATTTAAAAGTAATTCACTGCTCATAGCCGTTAAAATGATTCGATTTAGCATTTTAACAATGACTAAAAATAGAGAAAAAGACAAACTACACATTTTTGTCTAGTTTGTCTTTGTAGGGGAAATTTTATATAAAATTTCACGTATAGGAGGAATGGACCTTCAATAATCAAGAATCAGTTTTCTGATTAATTAGATCTAAGAGTCAATTGTTGGAGTTACCTTTGACGGTGATCTTGTGCTCGCCGGTGCCAGGGTGCGTGAAGAGGTCGACCTGCAGCGACACCTCGCCCACGCTGCCCTCCTCCGCCACTGCAGCGTCTATACTCATCACCATCACACATATACGAATAATAAGATGTGCGAAATTTTGAATAATCCTATTTTGTACAACAATATAATTCTCGAATCAAATTGTAACTTTTTCGATTAAGGATGATGATTTTTAGGATTGCAGAATCTTTGGACTTCTAATTTGATAAAGAAACTTAATTTATTTAAAAAAATCTTAATTTCTAATATGCTTTGTGTACACGTCAAAATTTAATAATCTTAAAGCCAATCATTGTGCAGAATATTTCATTTTTACTCACCTTGATTCTGCTGACTGGTAACGAACGTTCTAATTAAGGTGTCAGTTGTTTGCGTGTACAGACTGAGAGCGTATCTCAGTGATTGCAATTCTGGACTCTTTTCCAGGAAGGTCTTCTTAAGGCCGTTGCCGCCCGCGTGGAAGTACAACTTGATGGTGTCCAACGCCGCGTCTAGTACTGCGCATTGCTTCGGTGTTAAACTCTTCTCAGCTGACAAATGCTGTGAAAAAGTGAAAATAAAACTGTTACATTGGTACACAGATAGCCTCAAATATCATAGAGTAATGTCATCGACTACTAAGAGACTATGTATTTTTAAATTCATTACATCTAATAATCTTTATTGTTTGTTTGACTACTATCTATAATTATACATTCCGAAAGCGTATTCGTATTCCTTGATACTATTTTTTGTAAGTAAATAGTAAATACCTCTTTAGAAATATCCATGACGCCGGACAGCGCATGCTTCACGTCCTGTTTGCCGACCGTGCTCTTGAACAGTTGCGTCATGTCTTCTATCTTTGCGTTCGCAGCCAAATTCTTCGCGTTATTTGTCAGATTCTTCAACATCATCTACAATATCGAAACAATAATCAAATGTATCAAAAGTAAATTACTTCTTAATGGACGTTATTATGAATATTTGGGTTACCGTTTTATCCGTCATAGGAGGTAGCACAACAGTCTTTTCAAGTATTTTCATGACTATCTTCCACAATTCCTTGAGCAATCGCTTAAGTACTGTCTTCTCACACGACTCTGCATACATGGTTAGTGACCCATCCTAAGACAAAACAAACTTGTTAGTGTCCGAAGCTTTAGGTATAATACAGTAAATGTATAAAATTTGTGATGAAAACTTTTTTTGTGCGCACCAATATGTCCATAAGTGGTCGTAGAACTTCATCTGCTTCGTGGTGTGCAGGCGGCTGCGGTTGTCCCGGCGCCGCGCCTCCGCCTACCTTCTGAAGTAGCTCGCCCAGCTCCTTCACGCTGGCCGTTATACGGATCTCCAAGCTGTCACAACACATTACATTATGTTCTATTATCTATCATCAAGCAATACAAAACGCCTGTCAGTATTCTTGAAAGTTCGAGTCAATATTATTAATTCTACAGACGGTCATGTTATTAGTCCAGCTGGTAGTAGACATTCCTTCTTCTATGTAAGTATTCGAATGATTCACATGATTTATGTATTAAATGACTAAGATAATACGACGTATATGATGTATTATGAAGTCTGGACCAAGTAATGAATACATTTTAAACCGAATTTTAGCAAAGGCTTGTATTCCATTTTCTTGTATGTTCAATAAGACCACATAAAGTATCAACCTGTTAGCGAACATTGAGGCGAGTTCATCGAGCGTGGTGTTGAGGCTCTGCTGCAGGTCGTGCAGGATGTCGGCGGCGTCGCGCTCTAACTTGGTGCCCCCCATCGCCTCGAACATCTTCTCCAGTTGTACCCTCAGTTGTTGGATGTTATTCATCAGAATACATGCCTAGAAAACAATTATAATATAATAGTTTGAGTTATAAAAATCCTTTTATTAATTTTATCGTACTTATATCAAGTTTAATGCTTTACCACTCTCTCCTCCTTTAGATGTTCAGGGAATTCCTTCTTTACTATATCAGCGTAGGCGACGAGCACTTTGACGATGGTTTTGGCGAATCTCTTCATATACCGCTTCCAGATCTCAGGGTCGGGACACTCCAGCTTGGAGACCACGTCGAAGCATTGTGTTAGCTGTGTGAAGACATCTACCACGGAGTTGCTGAACAATGCATGCTCGCTGGACTTTTGGAACTGTGGAAAAAAAAATATTAATTTTGTTATTTCACGTACATATGATGGAAATGTGATTTTTTTAAACCTTGTGTGAAACAAAATGAGATTATGCTTCATTTTAGACACTTCATCAACAAAACACGTGGGAAGAAAAAATATGGTAACTTTGTTTTTTGGTTAAATTAATTCCTCATATTGAACAAAATG